TAATTTCTCCATATTTTGTAAAAAAATTAAAATTTTTACCAGATTTCGGAAAAAATGGTTCATTTGATACGAAATAATCACGCATATGTGACAATGGTTCATATAATTCAATATAAGCAAGCATATGTCACTCAGAGAATGCTTTTTTACATTCTCTGTGTGACTTTGTATATTTTGTATATTTTTCTACAAAGCTATAAGCCACGCACGTGCTCAATTCTTTACCCAGATTCTATCGGCTCTGTTAGCCGCCAAATCGAACATCATACAGAATTCAATTTGCACCTTCTCTATACTTTACGTTATCTGCATAAGCTTCTTGTCGAAACACGTGGATTGTTTTGTATGGCAGCAGCTACAGCAGCGATTGTTCCTCCGTTCGAACTGAAGGGTTTCGATGGTAAGATCTTCTGTTGACTGTCCCATGCTCGGCAAAATTGTTTACAAGTCTCATTATGGTTTATCTGCTCGGAGGATTGCCGCCAAACGTGGGCATATACTCTCTTTGAACCGAAACAATGGACTCCAGTGCGTGATAGCGGCGGACAATCCAAATTCTTGTTTCAGTGTCCCAGTTATCCATTTTTGTTAAATGTAGACRTCAATCTGCAAAATAAAAAAAAAAAATTAGCCAGATTCATTAAATAGAAAAAGTTTATTTAATTTTTTTTTTTGTAGCGGCTTTCATCAGACACCCTGTATATCTGCGACCTGATGGGCTGCGAGAAGTATTTTTTACACTATTTCTGACACATATTGCGAGATGTGGTGGTAATTTGGCACAAATCTCATCAATTTGGGGATGAATATTTTTTTGATTAATTAAATAATCGCTTTGTGCTTTTAGCTCTAATATCTCCTGTTACTTTTCTTTAATTGATTTCATTAATAATGAAATTTGATTCACCGCATTGTCAAGTTGTTCTTGAGAATTTTGATGACAAAAGGATCCATCGCAGAAATATGATTCGGCTGGGGTCCCCTCATATCGAACCCCAAAAGGAATCACTTCTGCCTTACTTTTTTCTGTTTCCCTAAAATAATCAAAATCCTCCTCCTGAGCAACAAAATCCTCAAGCCCTAACGAATTACTCCGTCGTTTTCGTACGTCTGTTCGACTAAGCTACCTATTCCAGACACTAAATTATTTTTTGTAATTACATCCATTGTGGTTGCGTACAAATTACTATCGGGGACTGCTCCTTTACTTAACCTTAATTTGTTCCTCATCTGGAACGAGAAATGGCGCTGACAGGCTAATAGCTCCTTTTTGGAGTGTCTGTTACCCCCAAAAGATCCATCCATTTTCCTCGCCTATGAAAATTTTCATAAATTTAACGAAAGAATATGCAAGCAAAATGGTTCGAATAAAACAAGGAAATCCTGGTTAGTTTTTTTTAAATAAATTTTAAAATGGTGCAAAAAAAAAATTAAAACGCATGAAAAGTATTAAATGAATGCATGAAGTGAACCAACCTTTAGAGGCATCATTTAAATTTTTAGTAAACTATTTATAAGTTTATATTCATACAAAAAAGTTATCTTTTAAAAACTATCATATTATCTATGACTAATTTTTAAGGTTTAACAAAATGAATTACCTTAAGTAATTAATACTATTTATGGTATTGATAATTTATATGTAACACGTAGTCATATTTTGTATAACTACGCTCTTATAAGTTAATATAATATTTACTTAATGAATTATATTTGTAATTAAACACTTTCGTAACAAAATTTTTGTAAGCCCTTTGTTCTTTTATACTATGTTTGGACCGACAACGAAAACATGTTTTCGTGGCAAAAACTGGTTTTCGCACGAAAACTTGTGTTTTCGTCTATGTAAAATCTGTCAAACGAAAACACAGTTTTCGCTGAAAACTACTTGAAAACTTACATTCCACTCATTATAATCGGTGCCTGCTCTAGTTTAATMGATGTTTTTGGAAGACATGTTTTGCCGGCCCTAAATTGACACTTGATATTTGTTTACATTCCACATACAAATACAGCTGTCGCTTGATATTCTCATTTGAGGGGGATTCTCTTGCTCTTGCAAAACCTTGCACCGTGCAGAAATTGCAGAGTTTTCCCTTTGGTGCAACGGCATAACAACAAACACACGCAGAAAATTAATTGCAATGGCTGTAAAATATGTCAGACCAAAACCCATGTTTATTGCCTGCCATCATATATCACTAGATTCTGCAATGGGTGCTCTCTTGGCTTTGCATATTTCGGTAAAGGATTTTGCATTTTGTGTCATCGTGCAATCTTGCAAGAGTAAGAGAATACCGCTTTTAATAGTTGTCAGTAAAAACTCACCGAAAACACACATTGTCGGTCCGAACGACTTAGATTCCACAACATATAAATGTGTTTTCAAAATGTTTTCAATGTCGGTCCGAACATAGTATAACTTCGTTATTTTTCAATATTTTTGTAAAAAAAAATTAAAATATAGCTAAAAATACACCTTATTATGTCCAAAGAACTTCGAAATATTCGAATGAGTACTTTCTTAAAAAAATCACCAAATTCGCCTAATTTTCTATGGGTAACACTGGTATAGCCCCTTAAATATTTGATGAATGTACATATATATGCATACTTTAGAAATTAACATTTTAAAGGAAAATGCTTTTAATTATTTTTTCTGCTACTTTTATTTCTGCCATTACCTTATTTAGGAGATGAAATTCCTTCGGATGAATTCATCTTCATACACCAAAACCAGATCGATAAATGCAACTTAGGGAAGCCGCCTGAACAATTTGTTGCATTTATTAATAATTTAGAAATAAAATTTGTTGAGGAATTTGACAGAAATTGTATATATGTAAATAGGAGTAGGAGAAATTCTTTTTACTAAATTAAAAGATATTAGTCCCTCCTTGTGTTATGAAGACTGTAACCCAAAGGTAGTTATTGCTCTATTTATTAGAATTAGAATTTATTTTGTGGCAAAATTTTTAAACAAAGATTTATTTCTCCCAATTTTAATAATACAATTTTTTAGTGGTTGCAATGAGCTAAATATTTAATACTAATATAAGGTTTTTTAAGCAGATTCGCATTAAGAGGCTCTAAGGTTAGAACGATAAAGATTAGAAAGTTATTAATTATAAATTAGAATTTGGGGCATAAATATTGGCTTATGTACATACGCTTATTTTTATAATTTTAAGTATTATACTTTATTATTATGCTGTGATATGGAGTGATATTGGTTTTTGTTAATTTTTTATACAATATGAATTTTTATCGTTTTGTTTTTAAAATTTTTTTATGTAAATAAATTTTTAATGGGTGATATAGGCCTACTGGGGAACCGAGCACCCAAAAATAACTTCGGTAACGCGCCCTTTTGCATACCTCATAGGTGGTGTGGAAAATGCGAATTGGGTGTTTTATTTAAAATGCCCAAAAAATAGCTTTTCTCTGATCTGGCTACAATGAAAAATGTCATAAAAAACGCTAATTTTGAAGCGCTCTCACACTGGAATAAGTTAAACATCCCTTTATTCCTGCCTCAAATTTGATGGGGAATGTTTATTATCATTCGAAAGAACATTCTTTGGTAAGAATTTTTTGAAGATTATCTTTTTTAAATATTGGCCGCGCCTATGCGATGGTACTTCTATTGAGTCCAATTTTTGCTGACCATTATTGATTTACAGACTATATTGGAGAAAAAGACAGATCGAACGCATGGACCGAGGAACTAGAGGCAATAAGGCTAAACAACTCCTTCTAACATACTCAACCATTTTTTATAAAGATGATTCCAAACCAGGAGGAACCAAAATTGTGGCAAATTTCATTAAGATCTGATGCAAGGTGATGCAAGACCAATTAAACACTTCTGCTACCCTTGAAAGACTTATGAATCAGGTATTAAATGGATTGCACCGGAAGACATGTTTGGTATACTTCATCAATTTCATCGTGTTGGATAAAAGCTTCAAGAACGGGAAGAGGATTTCCACCGGATAGCTAACGCTGATGTAGAGCTGAGTCCGAAGAAGTGTTCCTTTTTCAAAAAATAAATAAACTACTTAGGACACAAAGTGACAACAACTAATGAATTATAAAGTAAAAGATTGGCCAACTCCTGGATTTTGGCTGAAGACAGATCCTGCACCATTAAAATGGCTTCAATAATTAATACGATGAATTGAGAGGCTCCAATGTTACGACTTCTCAATAAAACATCGCACGAGTCGTAGTCATGTCATATATATCTCGCTGCCCATGTAATTTGGAATGCAGGTATTGCTCGAAAGGTGAAGCCAAAAAAGAAATTATAAATGTCCCTTTAATGACTATAAGATCAGTCTGGGATCCCAAGGAACTGAAAAATTTCAGCAAAAAGACTCAGATTTGAAATGTGCCGTTAAAGCGAATTTCCAAGGGTGTAGCTGGTCCCAACAGTAAATTAGGAAACGGGTATATTTTAGTAGCCATGAACGGTATTTAACATTAATTGGGTAACAAGATATGGCGTTCTAATAGAATCATATTTTGATCAAGAGCCGAATTTTGAACTTCTTCACTCCAGGGCTACTACTCCTGAATGTCAATGTATAATTACAGGTGCGCTACTACGTGGTGAAAGCTATTCGGACTTGCCGACTTTAAGAGCACCTGCAGCCTTGTAACCTCTCCACCGGTGTGAGTTTGCTACTGCAAAGATCTTGTCTAATCCAAAGACACATGATGACCGAGTTGAAACTCGATTCAATTGCCATTCCTCCTCGGCTGTTAGTGAATATGGTCACGAGAAAGGTCGGAAAGATTACCGTTTACTTTTAGGCACATGACATCGATTCCATTTCCCGACATGATCATCATGGGTTAGACAAGACCTTGAAAGTACTTCAAAGCTTACTTACGTCGGTGCAGAGGTTGCAAGACTTCAGGTGACCTATCCATTTTGTCCGCATGTTGTTTTGTCATTTGCCGAATTTCCAAAATTAAAATTAACGAAGAAACGTTTGTCCACAGAATTAAAGTCGAGAGGTTTCTCGATCGAGATAATTATGGGCAGATGGTCTGATGCGAGAGTTAGCTATTATCAGACCAACGCTGACAATTATGGTAACGTAAGAATGTAAAATCGGCTATCTATTTCGCTAGCTCCATCCCCCATCCCCCTACGATTATTTGACAGGTAGGAATGCCAAAGATCGTGATGCGCATTAAAGTCGCCTAGTATCAAACCTTTTTCACCACGAAGTAGCACATCTATATTTGGGTGATATCCTGTTGGTCAGCATGTAACTGGGGGGAATGTATATCAGGCATGTTCCAGAAATCGATGTCTTTGTTTTCCATTTTTTTGTCCACTTCGCGTATTCTCACTAATTTTAACAAATATTTTAAACAATTCTTCTGAAAGGTTGGTAGCAGGGATAATGGGATGCCCAACTTATTCCAGTGTGAGAGCGCCTCAAAATAAGCGTTTTTTATAACATTTTCCATTATGGCCAGATCGCGCCATATAAGAATTTTTGGACATTTTAAATTAAAATACCCAACATTTATTACGATTGCAAATTATTATATATTGGACTTTTAATATATGGCTAAACTACTTAATTCCTTTTTATGATTTTATGGTATATTAAAACAACTGACTTTCGATATTTCAATACTTAATAAGGTGAATTAAGCCTATTAGTTTTAAATTAATAAATGTTTTTAATCATTTGTAATAGAAAATTAATTCTATTATGCATCAAATTACAAAACGTTTCATAATATATGTATACTTAAATTTCGCATTTTCTTTGATTTTCATTATTTTAAATTTTTATTAGCGATCTTGAACGGCGGCAATAAATTCCTCCATTCACATATATTTTTGGTATAATTTAAATCTGGCCGTTCCAGTCATTCCAATTGCAAAACGTCAAAACCTACTCAATCCAGTCAACTGTCAAAGTTCGGTAGGTTTTGACGTTTAGCAATTGGTCTTCTAGTGAGAGAGGAGTTGGGGATCTCATTATCTCTGGTTGGTAGCATGCTCAGAGAGTTCAATAATAGCTGCAACTAATCTCACGTTATGAATCTGATGTGCTGAACACAATGCTCGCGACAGACTGCAAACGACATCTGTCAAATATTAAAATACACACGTTCTTATGGACAGAGTTGTTTTGACAGCTGCACGACTACACGACTGCAGGCCGACAGTTGTCTTTCTCCCTAACTTCAATATTTTCTTACATTTCCCAACGGCAGTAGCGTTGACGGTAGAATTGAAGGTAGAGATGAGAAAAATGTGTAAAATTATTCAAAGCTCTAACAAACCTGACGTTATTTTACAAATAAAAGCATAAAATAACTGTGTTATATCATTTGTAATAACAATTGACAATTTAAAACAAATAAATTTACCTATTTACTTTGAACAAAATATTAAAATTTCATTGAAGTGCAAAGTATTAGTATGGCCACAACGAAATTGTGTACATGCAAAATGGAGAGCTGAGTAGTCTTGTGTATAAGCCGACTATTGTTATGTCGCTGCCTTCTTACGAATGTTCATGTAGTAGGATTCACAACGCCATTTTCAGTTCACTGTCGTGCTGCTACAGTCTGTCGCGAGTATTGTGTTCAGCACATGACGTTCAATCTTTGTTTTTGATCTCTCTGTTTTCTGTAAGTAAAACCATATATTCTGGAATGATATTTATTTCATCTCCAATCTTCCTTTATATTAAAATATATTTACCAATAAAAATAGAAAACACTTAAATCCCACACTATAAATCACTAAAAAATTTACAAAATAAACAAATAATAATTAAACAGAAATTTGATCCGATTCTAATTTTCTTGTTGTTAAATGCTTTATAATTTTTTTTAATTTTTGATTATTAAATAAACTTATTTTGAAGTTCCTCGCACAGTAGGCTTTTATCCATTAATCCAATAAATCTAATATTTGTATCTATATATAGCAACGCCAGCTACACCAATTAAAATTGATCCCATTAAATATCCTATAAGTTTAAGCTGAAAAGATAAAAGCAAATATATATACAAAATATAATACAACATAAGTGTTCCAATTACAAAAATATGAGTCATATTTTCCACACATTTATAGGGTAAGTGCTAAATAAAATGAGAAATCGAGCAGAGAATTTATGGAATCATCTTAGTGTGAAATTTTCGAAAAATCGATTAGACTATAATAAACATTCTCTCACATTTTGAAATCGAAATTCAAATTATTACGGTCGCTACAGCGTGTCTTGTAGAAAGGGAAAAACGTTGAGAACGCTACAACTCCAACCTTTAAATACGTGTTTCTCAGAATGGTGTTTTTCAAAACGGTTTTAACTCTCAAAGGAAGAATCCAATTAAAATTTGGAGGGACATTTTTAACGTCAGTCTCTATCACGCTATAGCTTTTTTTTTATTTTGAAATCTTTCAATTTTTTTTTACGAAAAACTCTTAAAAAAAAAGAGCCAAATTCGATTATTTTTGTTAAAAACGTCGCCATTTTGTCAAATTAAAAAAAAAAAGCTTACATAGCGCGATAGCAACCGCTTTAAAAGCTTTTTGAAATTTTTGTTTAGATCAAAATTGCGGCCGCAATCGTGGACCTCGTACATGACCTTTTTATTACGTTTCATTTCAACAATTTATTTAACTATTATACACCCAATAAATAAATATAAAAATTCATTTTTCATTCGTCATTAATTTATTTATATATAAAAGAAAAACCGGACCGATTAGTTAACTTTAACTTTAATTAAAACGCGAAAGTCGGTGATTTTTCGGAGGGTCATACTGAGATGATCCCTTAAACATAAGAAATACTGTACGTATATCACAATAAGATAAGTAACAATTAAGGAAGGGCTAAGTTCGGGTGTCATCGAACATTTTATACTCTCGCATGATAAAGTGATAATCGAGATTTCAGGCGTGGTTGTGAACCGATTTCACCCATATTTGGTACATGTCATCAGGGTATTAAGAAAATATTATATACCGAATTTCATTGAAATCGGTCGAGTACTTCCTGAGATATGGTTTTTGGTCCATAAGTGGGCGACGCCACGCCCATTTTCAATTTAAAAAAGCCTGGATGCAGCTTCCTTCTGACATTTCTTCCGTAAAATTCAGTGTTTCTGACGTTTTTTGTTAGTCGGTTAACGCACTTTTAGTGATTTTCAACATAACCTTTGTATGGGTTACAGTCTATACAGTTTCTGTCTCTTATACACATCTAGATGTGTATAAGAGACAGGCGTGGCAGTGGGATGATTTTGCCCATCTACGAACTTAACCTTCTTGTGGAGCCAGGAAATACGTGTATCAAGTTTCCTCATGCTATCTCAATTTTTACTCAAGTTACAGCTTGCACGGACGGACGGACAGACAGACATCCGGAAAAATTCGAGCGTACAGTTTCTTTACATATAGGCTGTTCACGGTAAGGTGGTTATCCGGCTGTGGTTATTAGATTAAAAATAACCTCGATGATCCGTGAACATCCCATATTGTATGGTTATATGCTTATTTTTACACAAACAGCTGTTAATTTTTTACATTTTAAGTTCAATGAAATTTCTATTTATAAAATGCCTAAACAAAGTTTAAAAAGCAACATAATTGAATTTAAAATAAGTTCTGCTGGAAATGGAATTTATTGAAGGTATGTGCTTATCAAATAATCCGAATTTTAAGGGCTCAAAAGATTCTTTGTATAAAATTTGCAGACATCTTGCACCCTGAATAGTGTCCAATGCAATTGTAAACCAAAAAAAGCTGTTAATAGCAGAATTTCCAATTAAAAAATATAAATGGAAATGCCATTCACTTAGTTTTATTTATTTTTTGTACTGCCATTTAGTAAAACTCCAACGACTTTCTAACACTGGAAATAAGCAAACACCGACATAATCTGTAAACAAGGGTTTGGGTTGGTCAAAGTTGGTTATTTTGTCATACCGCATTTTGTTATTGTTTACTTAATCACATAACCACATAATCCGATAACCACCTTATCGTGAACGGCCTAATAGTGTTAATGTGACAATAAAA